GTCAAATAAAATTAAAACCCAAATAACAACTTTTCCACAAATTTTGTAACAAATTAAATCATAATCACATTCACAACCCCGACCGAAACTCCAAATTAAAAATCCACATACATCCCCCTAAACAACACTAACCATCCCCCGTTCCACGGCTCCCCCGACCCAGAAAGCAGCAACATTGGTCCTTGCGCCCTCCTTTCCCCGTTGACTTCTACACATCCATGGACATTACACCCCGTGGTGAATCTTCATTGGCTGGAAGGCTATTTTTGGGTTTCCGGCTTTTGATCTCATCTGGTTTTGTTCATGTTGATTATCATGGGGTTTTACCAGGTTGGGTTTGGTCTAGGCTCGCTTGGCTGCGTTAGTTTCCTTTCTTCTTCTTTTTTTTTCTCCCCTTGTGATGCGATTCAATTTAAGTAATTGATTGATTGATTGTGAGATAAGTAGTTAGTTAATCAATTAGTGGTTGTGGGGTCGGATTGGTTCCAATGGCTCGGGAAATTGGTTTTCTTGGTGTGATTTATTGTGATAGTATGTCCCGAGAGTCTGGATTTTTTGTTGCGTGGGCTTGGCTGCTTGGCTGCTTGTGTAACAACGGTCAGTTAGTGAGTTACTTTTTTCGTTGTTCCCTGCTTGGGGGTGTTAGACGAGGGGGATCGAAGATAAAGTAGTAAGTAGTTTCGAGGGTAATAGTGTTGAATAGGTTGCGGAAAGAAAATGGCGCAGTTGTTGGATTGTTGGATTATTTCTGATCCGTGCAGTACTGTAGGACTTGACTGGCTGAATGACTGACTGACTAGTAGGTTTGGTTGGGTATGCCCGCTGGATTAGTTAGCTATGATTCATTCACGTGATATAGGTCATGTTGATGCAGAGTAGGAAGGATAAAAAACATTTAAAATAGGTTAGGAAGTAAATCAAAAGGAATAATGCTGTACAGCTTACCGACTTGACATATTTCTTTCGATCGAAGGTTAGTATGTAATGTTTCATCAAGAACAATGAATCTGCGGCATCCTCTGCCTCGAGGAAACGACTCACCCTGCCCTTGACAATAATTCAATGTCGCAATCTGGATGACTTTTAATTGTTTTATCGGGAATCTGTACTGGGAAATTATTGGTATCCCTCTTCGAGTAATCTGTCTAATTCGCAGCCCTCCGTCCGGGCTAACCTACAATGCCATCGAGATGGCTATAGTATTGATCGTAGACATACTGCAGACGATTTATTTCTCAGTCTGTATCTGGAAAGAATCATGCTGGACTCATTATGAACGACAATTGCTTTCTTCTTGATGTTGTAGTAATTGTATATCTTTCCATGTAAATGAGCAACATCATATATACAAGTCTCCGTTTTCTGGCGCCATTTAGAAGCTTTATCGCCTGTTTGGGAACTAAATGAACAATTGAGAAGCCGCTATCAGGCACAATGTCAGGAGTGGATAAGGAGCTAGGATAGGAGCTTCTCGAGTAGGGTAAATGTCATAATAAGATAGTTCCCATCGACCCATATTCCATCACTCCATTCACAAAAGAAAAAGATTAAAGTTTAGACTTGGCCCAATCATCAAAATCGCACTGCAGAACAGTAGTCAAGCGTGAAAACGAGTAATAAAATCCCTATAACAGAAGTTTAAGTTCTCATCCACAACATACAACAGAAGGATTAGGAAGTTACTAACCTGAAGGGTAATAATCTCCACAATTTCTCTATCAGAGAATTGACCTTTAACACTCTTCCACAGCTCATCACTAACTTCAGGCTGCTGGACAATCGTTTCCACGAAGCTGAGCAGGATAAGATCTTTGTCGCTGAATCCCGCCGCCCCATTGTCAAGTTTCCTGTCGATGAAGTAATTCTTTTCCTTCGCGGACGCTTTGAGCGCCGCTTGCTGCTGTTTGGTCACACCAGCCTTCAAGGATACGGGAAGATGATGGGTCCATTCGTAGGTTGAGTTGAACTTTGACGTTGTCAACATAATCACCAGTTCACGGTCTCTAGCAGAGAGCGATAAGTGCTTGAATTGGGCGTTTCCTAGCCCTGCCCAGTGATCAACAGTTGCTGTGCTGTAGGATAGAAGTTTCATGATGTTGAGAGTAGGATGCGATTTGGCATGCTGTTTAGGCGACTCTGGATAGGGTAGTCGAGCCATGGTGCTTCTTTTGGAGTAGTTAGGCTATAGAATGGTTGAGATAGATCCATATAACGAGGAGATGTAGTTGTTTCTGTGCGGGGATATTGTCATATATTACGGTTGATGTTGATTAGCGATCTTTGTTGAGTCTCAGACGACAAATCCGTTAAGTGCCTCCTGGGCCGAGGGCCGAGCAAATAGTCGACCCCGAGGTCGTGGAGGTATAACACGGCGCCGAAATCTATGGATAATTCAACGATGCCAAGAAATGGAGAAGAAAACAACATGAACAATTATTTCCAGAAAGTTTGGGGGGCGAGCTTTAATCGAGTGTAGTGGTGTTTGGCAGTCACGATGACGGATACAATGGAAGAGGTGCCGGAGTAACAAACTAAACTACCATTAGTGCCAATACCGGAGATATGATCCTAATATAAGTAGCGCTTCTGCACCGCAACAACCACGGAAGAGTCAGAACAGTTGCGCCATCTCTGCATCCAAGTGTACGTGAATTCGTGTCATGACAGGTGGATAAGTGGATAAGTATCAGTGGATGTCTCTGTGTATGTGGACATCCACTCAATTCATATTATAATAATCGGTTGTGGTTAGTTGATAATGTATCGAGTACTGTATCTCATCATCCCTCGTGTCTATTATACATTCCTGAACGCCGGTCCGTCCGTCCATCCACCCATCCAGCCAGCCAGCCTTTTTTGTTCTCTTTTAATTTTCTTTTGTTTCCTGGTTATAATGTACATTGGTGTTACCCGTCTGGGCCTGTGGCTTCGCCCATTTCGGTGTCTTCCGGTTCCGGTTCCGGGTCATCTTTGTGTCCGTTCGGTTGTTCGAGGTTGTGGTCATGGTTTGCTTCTGGTAGACCGTTTGGTTTCTCGACTTCCATGTCCCCATTCAATTGTTGGTCCGTGTCTCCATTCACTCCGTCGCCATTTATCTGGGGAGGAGTGTTGGCGGTGGAGGTGTTCGTGGTATCTGCTGCTTCTGCTTCTGCTCCTGCATTCGCTTCCTCCCATACCCGCACGGTCCCGTCTAACCCGCAGCTCACCATCAGCCGCGACTCCTCCAGCGTGCATGTGTCCACTCCCAGCACCACCCCATTATGGCCCTCCAGACGCTGCAGCACTTGCTTGCTGACCACGTCCCAGCACAGCACAGCTCCGTCCTCGCTGCCGCTAACGACGAACGCATACCGCGGTCCGCCCCGTTCCCCATATACACCGAATCCGCCCTGCAGACTGTATTTTTTATTACCATGGCCCTGGTACGTCTTGATGCACCGCCCCTCGACGTAGTCCCACAGTCGCACGCAGTCGTCCAGCGTCCACGCCAACACGTACTTGCCGTTCGGGGAGAACTTGACCGCCGTCACGGGCGGGTTGTCTTCGTGCACCAGCGTCCGCAGACACTGGCCCGTCGCGGTATCCCAGATTCGAATCAGTCCGTCCGTCGCGCACGAGGCAATAAGGGTGCCGTCCCAGACGACATCGATTCCTCCGACCGGGTCGGAGTGTGCGGGCAGCGACCGCATCACTCGTGCTGATCGCACATCCCATAGGAATACCGCTTCATCGTAGGATCCGCTCACGAGCATGTTGCCTTTGGGCGAGAATGCAATCTGGTAGACGTAGTTGTGGTGGCCGACGAAGGGGATCGGATGCGCCTTGCCCTGTTGCAATGTATTAGTTCCCGAGAATATTACCAAAAAGTTATTTGCAACGTAAACCCACCGTCAATACATTCCACAGGCGAATCGTCTTGTCGTCTGATCCCGACGCAATTGTCGCCCCGTCCGGACTCCACGAGATGGTCGAGATGCCTGCCAGATGACCTTCGAAGGTATGGATCAACCGACCCGTCACTGTATCCCATACCTTAACAGCCCCGTCCGCACCTAGTAACACTGTCAGCGACCCAATCTATACAAAGGAGAATTGAGGAAAAAGGAGAGCAGAATAAAAACCCACCTCCGCTAGCAATCATCGAAGAGTCCGGCGAGAACCGTACTGCCGAGACTCCTCGAATATGACCCCGTAGTAAATACTTCTGGTGATAAGTCACCTTGTCCGGTTTGGGCGGCGGAGGTGGTGGTTGCGGCACCGGGGTGGGCGACCGTTCGCCAAACGACTGATCAACAGCTACATCACCGTCGGCGGCGGTTGCGGTCTCTTCGACATCGCCCTCGGCGCCGCCGTCTTCCTGCTCTGGATCAATTTCAGGGTCGAGTCTAGGCTCGGGAGCCTCGTCTTCCTCCTCCCTTTCCGCCTCGTCGTGGTCGTGGTCGAGATATCGCTCCGAGGACGGCTCCGCGCTTGGCTCGGAGGGCGAGGACGGACTGCGACCGCGATTCCTCGCCGACCAGTACTCCTTCGCGTCGACTGCCAGCTCGTCGGGGCTCTCGGAGCCACTGAAGCTGCGCGAGCGGCGATATGGGCGCTGTGGGGGATATGCCTTCTGGATGGACCAACTGGCGCGGCGGCGTTCGGCCTCGTCGTGGTCGGAGCCCGCGGCCAGCTCGTCGGACGAGGATTCTACGGGCGAATGGATGAAGCCATTCTGGGGCTTGGGAGTGGTATCAAGGCGACGTCGCTTAGAGCGATGCATGGAGCCATCCATGAGAAGGCAGAAAAACGGCGCGAGAGAATTGTGGGAAAATAGGGAGAGGGAGGGAGAAAAAGCAGAAAAGCAGCGATCGCGATGATTTCTTTCATCGCCGCGACTTTCATCCCTCGTGACAATCAGGCGTTTTTGGGAAGGCGGTAAGCCCCTTTCCCCAGAATGTGCCTCAAGGCGGTGAGCACCATGATTTCATCGTTTTTCGTTACTTTGGCTTCATCTCCACCTCATCTATATCCCCCTTAACCATCAAAATCATCTTCCTTTCTTCTTTCTATTACCCATATATTAACTCCTATTATTCTTACTATAATCTCCGATATGCTCCTCTAATTCGACAACACTACATCATCCCACAATGTCTGCCACCTCCGAACCCCCCTCTTCCTCCCCCTCCACCCCCACCCACATCCGCATCTTCACCTTAAACTGCTGGGGTCTCAAATACATTGCCAAACACCGAAACGCCCGCCTCGCTGAAATTGGCCGCCAGCTCGCAATTGCCTCTCCGCCGCCCGAAATTGTCGGTCTTCAAGAATGCTGGACACAAGAAGACTACGAATCCATCCGTCAGCAAACCCGTCACATCCTTCCCTACGGCAAGTTCTACTTCGGCGGTATCTGGGGCGCCGGTCTCGCCATCCTCTCCAAATGGCCCATCGAAGAAAGTAGCATGTTCGCATACCCGCTCAACGGGCGTCCCACGGCCTTCTTCCGCGGCGACTGGTACGTCGGGAAAGGCGTGGCATGTGCGCGCGTCCGCTTCGGACCCGGAGTCCAAGACGTCGCGGAGGTGTTCTGCACGCATCTACACGCCCCCTACGAGCGAGAACCCAATGATTCGTATATCTGTCATCGGACGGCACAGGCGTGGGAAATCGCGAAGCTTATGCGCGGGGCTGCGGAGCGCGGACATCTAGTCATCGGTCTGGGCGACTTCAACATGCTACCGTCATCGTTCGCGCATCAATTGATCCAGGCACATAGCCCCGTCCGAGATGCATGGCAGGTCCTGCATCCGGATTCGTCGGTCGGCGCGGCCATTGACCCCGTCGAGCAGAAACGGGGCAAGCCCATACCTTCAGCGGAATACAACCTCACGGAGAACGGCGCCACCTGCGATGGAAAGTTCAATACCTGGCGGTGGTCCAAAGAAGACCAGAAGCGCCTCGAGAAAGGCCAAGACATCGTCGTCGACAAAGATGCCCCATGTCCCAAAGGCAAACGCCTCGATTACATCTTCGTCGGAGACGGCAACTACCCCCCGTTATACCCGGCACCGCGCTGGTCCGTCGAATCGACCCGACTCTCAATGACAGAGCGACACCCCACCCTCCGCTGCTCCCTGAGCGACCACTTCGCCGTCGAGGCAGTTATCACCCGCATCCCATCAGAGAAAGCCGCCAACGACACCAGTATTACCCACCATTCTTCAGCCCCCAACGCCGCCCTCACACCCGATACCTACGACCGCATCATCGACATGATCCACACGTACGTCCGCCGTGAGCGATCACAGCGCCGGTGGCGCGTAGCGCATTTCCTAGCCTCGGTGATAATATCCATTGGCTGCTTCATTGGAGTGTGGTGGACAGGCGACCACCTACCATACGTAGCATTCATTTTGGTTCTGATGAGCACATTGAGTTTTGGAGCGGGAATCTTGGATGGGTTGATTGGCGGGCTGTTTATGTCCAGTGAGTTGCGCGCATTGAAGGAGTTTGAGTGGGAGGTGAGGAATGCGAAGATGATTGCTGAGGCGGCTGGAGGAAAAGGGGAGAAGGTGGAGTAGGTGCGTGCTTTTTGGAAAATTGGGCTACATTGGGTATAGTGAGTTTTTGTGTATATGTATAGTATAGTATGTAAATTTGGAAAGGAATGAATGAGATGGTGTATATGCTTGGATGACAGTATGAGTAGGTAGGTAGTTGGGTCTATGCATTCTTTGTTCAAGTTGTGCATCTTATGCATGTATGCATGCATTCATGTGCCGGGGGTACTGGCTTAGCGCCATACAAGTATCCAGACCGATGTCTATCTACGTAGGTCTACTACCCTACAAATTCATATAAAATAATGATAGACAAGCAATAGTCATATTGATCATAAAGAGTGTCATTAACAAGCCAGCGACATCATCATCATCCTCGTGTGTTGTAATTTAGTCACACCACGTGCAGAATCTTCCACATAACGAGTGAAGAAAAAACAAATTCCATGTGATCTCTCACACTCCATGAAGTTTACTGAGACATTTACTCAGCGCACTCGCGCTTACGCTCGTCAAAGATCTGCAGCGCCTCCTCGGCAGCCTTGACACCACTCAGGACCATAGCACCAAAGGTAGGACCCATGCGGTTGAAGCCATCGATCTCCGACAGCTCCATACCACCGATGATCAGACCCTTGGTGACTTCACGGGTGTTCTTGACGATGGCGTCCTCGGCCGAGTTCATGTCGAGGCCGCGCATACCGCCCAGCTTGTCGACACTGTTCATGGAGACGAGTCTCTTGGCTGAGAAGGCACCGAAGGGACCGTCGTGGCCCGTGGTACTGATGATCACGGGGGCGTTGATGGTGTTGGGGTCCATGCAGGAGTGGTCGTCGTGGTGAAGAGTGACCAGGGTCCAGTTGGTGACCACACCGGCAATGCGGACATCCTTGGGGTCGCCGCTGGCAGCGGGGCGGGTGATCAGGTCTTCCACGCTGGTGGCGTTGAAGAGCTTGACGTTGGGGAAGGAGAGAACCTTGGACAACAGGGTCGAGGTGAACAGCGAGGCGTGCTTCACCACGACGTAGTTGGGGTTCGCAAGGTCTTCCTCGTAGGGCACGCCCAGCTCGTTCAGGAAGACCTCGGCGGGACGACGCATGACCATGGCGGAGAAGAGCTGGCCACCGAGCCAGGCACCACCACCTGGGATGAGTCAGTATGTTGGAAACGATGGATGAGTAGGTGGGTGGTGGGGGGGTTGTTGAAGAACGAACCAGGAGAGACATTGGCCTCGACAATGGCAATCTTCAAGTCCGGACGGGCCTTGGCCAGAACATACGCGGTGCTCAAACCGCAGGAACCAGCACCCACAATGACAATGTCACTCTCAGCGTACTTGTCCAGATCCTGGAAGTAGCGTCTGGTCATAGCACGCGAGACCTGGCTCTCACGGATGGGAGCGAACTTGAAGTTGTCCCACTTGCCAGCGAAGTGGTCAAGCAGCTGGGTCTGGGAAGAGCCAGTGACGGGAGCAGCCTCCGGGACCACCACGTTGGACTTGATGCCAGTGGGGACCACGGTGGGCTCGAAGATAGCAGCGGGAGGAGACATGTTGCTTTAAAGTGTGTGGACTGGAAATTGTTAGCCATTCCATCAAACGGGGGGATACGAGGGAAGGCATGATCCTTTCGCTGGTATTATCCAGATCAAGTTTAACCGTATAATCTCAGAACGAACCCAGAGCCAGTGGCAGCGCAGCATTGCTGTCTGCCACTGGATAGGAACGAACACCGGTCCACGCCCAAGATTTACCTGAGATACCTGATCATTGAGAGAGTCCAGCCAAAGACATTGCATGACTTCCATCGTGTGTAATGAAGAATCGAGACGAGACCCCCGGGGAGGGGGGTCAACGCAGGTGGAATTACATTGCACGGAAGGTTTCTGGGACGAGGTTAGTATGGTCTATACAGGGAATACAAACATGGGAGAGGATGACTTGTGATGAAAGTCGATGAAGACTTGAGTGGATTGAAGTAGTAGATAGTAGATGGTTGTTGAGATGATGGAAGAAAGAAAAGAGGAGGGAAGAAGTAGAAGCGGGGGAGAGGGAGGGGCAGGTATAAATACTACTACGGGATGGGGGGGATGAGAGTCACGGTACGTAATGGAGATGACAGCTGCCAATTGCTTAATTGCTGGACTGCACATAACTCTCCGATGTGCGGGGATTATTGCAATCCTGCTTTTCTTCGTGGAGCTGGAGCTCTGTGGTCCGTGAGGGATCCAGCGACTTGCTCCGATCTTGCCCGCGTAGGTTTCAACCCGGTGAACCTTTGCAGCAACCGTGTGAAGTCATGGAGGGTGACGATCATACTAGTGATAGATGTGGATGCGCAATGTTAATTGGCTTCACCCCGATTCGCTGATTGGATTCCACCGTGCTAATCACTATGTGTCGTTGTTCGCTAGCTGGCTATTGTCTAGTGTTTACAGGGAATGATTATGCAATAGAGACATTGGAGCTATGAAGTCGTAGCCCATTATGAACTATCTACTATGTCTCAAGATGGATGGAAATCGTCTTTATTAACGCAATTTCCCCGTCGCAATCTTACTGTGTATAAGCTATGGCTGTAGCGAAAGCTTAATTGTCTCAGCAGATCATCAATGACAGTATGGGGGTTAGTACCAGGGCTAAAGTTATCCCCACGACACCAAAGCTCCCTGTGAGTCACACACGGCCGACCTTGTTTCAGATCGAGGTCTACATGTAGATCAATGCCTAGTTCAATGACCAAGATAAAATCACGATTCAGATAGATGATAATTCACTGCCAAACCATTACTACAGACAGCATCAACTGACTGATCCACATCAAGATCAAGCACAAGGCATAGAATATATAGTATCAACCACCATCGTCCAGACAAAACACCGCTGCATCGTAGATACATATATGTAAATTATCTTCAAGAATAAACAATCCGATCAAATGCATGCAAAGTCATCAGGAGCTTTTGGCACCGGTCATCAAGCCAAGTCAGGATACAACACAGCATAACACAACACACCAATGCTGAACACGGAACACGATAACTCCTCAGGCCCCCTCTCTAGATCGTCTCCCACCCGCCGTTGTTGATGTCCGCTTCTAGCTTCCGGCTGATGGTGGCTGGGATGCTGTGTGACAACCACACGTCCCGAAGCAGTCGGTCGTAGCGCTTCTGGTTAAGGATCAGCTGCCGGTTGCGCCGGAGACCCGGGTCGACCTCGCCGTGTCGGTCAAGGTACGGTGCGTAATGCCACGATCCATTGCGGTTGTGCAAGTAGAGCACAGTGCACTTGCGAATGTTGATGAACAAACCGATGTTCTTGCCACATCTACTTGCTGTTAGAAGAGTTCTCCAGATACTTCAGAAAGGGGGTGGAAATGGACTTACTTTTGAACGTGCTGGTTGCATCCGCCCAGCTTGTTCTCCATGCAGCATACTGCCTGCGAGCAGAAGATATCCCCACAGAAGAGACAGATGCTGGGATCACTCAGCTCCTTCTTCGACTTGGGGCACCGGCGCCGGTTGGCCTCTTCGATCAAACTGTCGTAGTACTTGGGGAGTCCGACCAGCTCGAAAATGGCCGGGTGAGGAAGGCTGGGCCACAGCTTAAGGTCGCCCATCCGGACGCCCGACCGAGTCGCATTCCAGTGGAAGATCCATCCGGAGATCATGGCATCGAACGGCTTACCACTCTCCCGAGCCGGGTTGATCGATGCAAAGATTTCGTCAACGGATGGCAGGTGAAGGAGATTGGTCAGACGGTCCAGCTCCGACGCATTTCCGTCGTGAGAACCTGTGTTAGGGAACTCAACGCCGTGCTGAACGTGGAGTAGGATGACCGCCTTGCGCAGGAAAGTCAATGCGTAGCTGGAGATGAGACGCCTCAGCGAGATCACCACATCCGGAGTTGCACTTTCCACGCCGTCCTTGACGTAGCCAGTTTCAGCAGGGAACGATGATCCCACCGCATGGCCTACCGAGTTAGATTTCAACTCGGTGACGATCGAGTGGAAGAAGCGCCGGCTCGCTTCGTATCGCGGATCTGTCTGAGTTAAGTCAGACAGATACTGGTCGTCGTGATGCTGTGCCAGCTCCTCCTTCAAGCCCTTCGGGCAGAGGATGTAGGTGGCCGCGACCTTGACAATTTCGGCCACGTAGCACACTTGAATCAAGTGGCGAATGTCAACAGACAGCACCGGCAGCAGGGATAGCGAACACTCGGCCAGGAAGACAAAAGTATCCTTAGCCAGTAGCGGTTCAATCTCACGCATCTCGTTTACCAGCGCGCTGCCACTCAAGCAGGGATGGCCGATGAAGAGCTGACATATCTTATGGCGATGCAGCTCTTGGAACTCGTCCCCGCTGTGAGTATGAGGGCCATTAGAATTGTATACACACCCGACGGCAGCGTACGATAAGGCACTTTCAGCCAAGACTCGGAGGTGCGTCAGAGTCAGCTGAGGAATCTTGTCCAACAAAGTCGTCCCTGGCTCTGATTCAACTCCGCGCTGAGAGATCTCAGTAGCAGCAATGCTGAAGCCAAAACTCTGGAACAATGAATCAGTGTGCACCAGGTCATTGGTGTCTGTGGTATCCGGATGGTGATTGAAGGTGGATGGTATGTGGTTCATCCGGATAGTCTGCTTCAGTCGCTTGTAGATCTGTATGAGCACAGACATGGGGCTTCCGTTTTGGGCCGAAGCTTCCTGCAGCGGACTTGTAGTTGAGTTTTCGTCCTGTGATGGGAAGAGGCCAGGCATCGGCAGCCTCGCTGTTGGTATATAGTGAGTCGCGGAGGGCAGAGACGACGACGTTGACGTTGACTGCGACGACATGAGCTGATCAACCTTAGTTGCCAGTGGAGGAACCAAGGCCTTCGACAGGTAATGGCTGAATAGATCCTGGTAAAGCTGTAGCTGCACACTGTTGTTCTCCGCGAGCACTGCGTAATTGTACGATTGCGAGAGGACCGACTTCAACTCTGTATTGATGAAATCATCAAACGGCACAGAAGTATTCAGAGCCCCGGGGTAGGATTCCTCTTTACCCTTCCAGATAATAGGAAGGAAGGCATTTCCTAGAGCCTTGCATAGCGGACAAACAAATTCCTTGCTCAGCAAACGCTCGGGGTGGTTCCGCGCGATTTGTTGCGAGTGGCGGCGCTGAGTAGCGAGGAAGTAGGCATCAAAACAAGAGTAGTGCATGATATGCCCGCAACCGGTGGTGACCGGTCCACGAAGGGTGTTCGTGGCCTTGAAACCTTTACTCAATCCGATCTTCTCGCTGATAACTTCACCACCGGTAGAGTCCAGTCGGCGGACCGTCGTGCGGTTCTCTCCTGCGACTCCAAAAGGACGAATGTGCTCCGCAGACTTATCCAAGCTCGTCGGTGTCCTGATCACTTCCCTGATCCAGTCAGGATCGTTGATGTCTGTCAGGCGCGTGATACTGCTGTCCTGGATCAAGGCGAATGTGCCGTAGAGTCGGGAGTCATTAGTTTCCTCCTGGCAGAGAATGCAAGTACCACTAGGGTATTTCCATAGTTTAGTCTCGGGAGCAGTCTCGGCTTCGGATTCGAGGTCGCTGAAGTCCTCCTCTCCCCAGTCAATTGCACCTTGGCTGTTAAGGAAGTTCTGTTGCTGTTGCTGGAATTGAGCCATAACTCTCGCTTGTCTTTCGAGGGCCTGCTTCTTCTTCAGTTCCTTCTCATTGTCCGTGTCGATGGCAGGGGAGCTTGTGTCGACCCGATCGAACGGGAACTTGAGAGAAGCAGTGGCGGAGGCGTAGGCTTGAGGGCGCTTCTGCCAAAGCCTCTTCAGAATATGACGGATCTTGGGCCCACAAGCGGAGAATTCACTCATGACGGAGATCTTCTCCAGAAGACCAACGATGGTCAATGATCCAGCCAGAGTCGTTTCCTTGGCCTTGTTCAAGGCGTGCGACACAAACGAAGGTGAGGAGCCATCGTCCTCGCTACTATCTTCAAGAGACGCCGCAAGGATGAGGTGGAGGACAACCTGGAGGAAGGTCTCCACACGGGTAGGCGGGATGTTGGGGGTACGCTCTTTCGAGGAGACCACGTAGTCCAAGCAGTGGTGGACAATCTGAGCAAACACCAGCGTCCTTGTGAACTTGGGAAGTTCCGAGTATGCGCCAGAAGTGATAGGCCGCAGCTTCGGCTCAAAGACAATGTCTGATGCCTTCTTTCCGGATTTCTTGGCTATCCACTCCTTATAGATGCTCTCTGCTTCGTCCCGCTGGTTCTTGCTGTAGTGAGCACTATAAGGATCAATCAAGTCGATATATTCCGGCTTAAGTTCGAAGGTTCCTGTGTCATTCAAGCCTTCAGGAGGACGGAATCCCGCAACGTCGTCCAAAACATCCTGAAACAGGTCCGAGTCAAGCAGTTTGTCACTGAGGCGTGTAGACAAGTCTGAGAAAGAAAGTGGCTTGAAGCACAGAACATGGGCAATATCGCGGCTCATGTTCTCGCGCGTTGCGGCTTCGCTGTCGTCAACAGCGGTGAGAGAGGTCCGGTCTGTGAGCAGAGTGACCAGCAGATGGACGAACTCCTCGGCCACGTCGATGATCTGGCTGTCTTCGTATCCGGGGCGTGGCATATAATCTCTGGTCATCCAGTCCATCATACCGAACCGGTCCGCGATAGATGCAAGCACCCGGCTCGGGTCACACGTCACCAGCGCAGTTTGCAGGAGGAAGATATCGCGATAGTAGGCAAAGTCGCGAGACGACACTCCACGATACTGAGACATCTGATGCCGAAGGCTGAGACCGTTACGCACCCACATGCCCGCTTTCATCTGCGCGAGCCAGGCGCAGACCCGCAGAGGATAATCGAACATGCAGAGGAGCAGGTCCTCAGAAGTCAGCTGACTATCGTGGATGTATTTCTCGTTTGCGGCATGAGCAGCACTCATGAGCACATCCCGCATCAGAGCACTGTTCACATTGCGGCCACACTCCAGCAGCCACGACAGCGTGTAGTGCAGGGCATGGTGGAAGCTCATCGAACCACTTTCAACAACAAAGTCTACAACACGGTAACGGGGGACTCGTTGCTGATCGACTTCGAAGTCAAGGGGAGGTAAAGTCTTGAACCGCACATAGTTCTTAATCTCCGCCTGTTCAAATCTCTTGCGCTCAATCCCCGTAGAATGTACCATTGCAGAGATGGTTGCCGTCCGGATTGCTCGCAATAACTTCACGCCACCATCAGCCTCGGGGTTGCGGAATGCCTCGCAGAACTGACGGCAAAGCCGATTGATCTCCCGCATGAGAATCGAGGCGCTGATCCAGGCGTCGGTCTCGTACTCGACATGCTCTCCCACAGCACGTACGTTGGGACAGATACCCTGAGACAGCTTGACGAGGTCCAAGAACTGAGCGAGGTAAGGTTCTTCACTGCGTACGCGGTTCTGTACATACTCTGACTGCAAGAGATATCTCAGATCAAGGAAGAAATGGTACAGACGTCTGTTGGTCACGGAACCGGCATCGAAAGCCAAAGTTGCGTTCGGGTTTACTTCATAAGGTTCGCCAACTTGACGCGTGGTCAGGAATGTATATAGGATGGCCATGACCTTGGTGAGGAAGTTCCCGCGCAGCACAATCTCTTCAGTGATAGAGGGTGTCGTTAGAAGTTGGAGGGAAAGGTTGACAATTGAATGATCCGGTTCTCGGTCTGCAATCAGGTACAACTGCGCGAGCGCCGTATATAGAGCCGACAGGCGTAGACCCATGATTCGCTTGAACTGGGGAACATTGACCACAGTACCAATGTAAAGATCGCGCAGATCGGTACGGGTCTTCTTCCACAATCGGAGATCGAACAAGATCATCCAGTCCAGGCGTGTACGCTGCCAGAGATCCTCGTATGGGGGAACATGCTCCCCGAAGGCCGGGACGGAAGGTCGGACTTGCCAATGACTGGGGGTCTTTGCAGGTGATGGTTTTACCACACCAGATGGTGTCTTGGGGATGGCAACATACGACATGGGAGGAAGTTGGCATGTGTCATTCGAGTTCGGCTCGCGCTCGGGAGATTGCGGTGGAGCTTGGTTCTCCGAGGCTGGCTGCTCTTCTTGTTCCTGTCGTTCCTGTTGTTCCTGTTGTTGCTCAGTGTTGGGAGACATCGACCGCCGACCCAGTTGGATAATGGCTTGAGCCATCTCAAAAGCGTCATCCGTGTTGCCCATCACCATATCTTCCTCATCCGCCATATCCTCTATTTCAGCTTGCTCACGAATTAAAGCAATCCGCCTATCCATATCCTCATCCTCGTCGTCAGCATCATCATGGGTCTCCACAAATTCTTCGTCTCCATCCCCGTCGCCAACTTGTTCATTATCATTATCAATATCCTCATCATCCTCGTCGTCATCCTCTTCTGCAGCCAAAACCACCTGCCCCTGTGGGGACACCGTGAGCATAACCGTGCGGTACGGAGCATTTTCAGACCTCTGATGGTCATCAATGCCCTTCATTCCGATATCGGCATTCGCGGCATTGCTGCGTTGTTGCCATGGACTAAGTAGTGCCTCACAGATCGTGTGGCGCAGAATCTCGTTATCGTCCATGATGCTGCACCCCGAGATATCTGCAAGCCACTCGACGATGGTCCCACACATTTGCTCGCGGAACGTGTCGCGGGCAGACCGAATTGTAACCGTGACCTTAATCTGCTCGATAATTTTCGACACAGCCAGCAGCCTCTGCAGATCTTTGGAGTATTTGACTACACTCCTCCCAATATCATTCGTTTCGTGGGCCCTATCGTTGCCAAAACGATCCCGTTCCCGACAAGCCCGGCTGACCTGATGAGCAACATCCCGGATAGTATGTTTCTCATCGTTCCAAAGAGCAAGAGCAAATTCCGGCTCATCCTCCGGTAGATCTCCATCACCATACCAGCCGGGACGTAGCCGGGACGCCTCTTCATCCTGTCTGATCCCTTCCTCTGTTTTCGGGAGCCGCAACTGCTCGGGAGAACAAGAAATGACATCACAGAAATAATCCAGCACGCCGCTAATAGTCGTTCGAATGCTATCGACCAGATCATGCGGAAGCTGAGTCTGAGCCCTTTGCTTGCCTTTCTTATCCTCGCTGTCGGTATGGATCGCACAGAACAACGGTAGTCGCCATGCCTCCTCATCTCCGCAGTCACAGCAGCCGCAGTTTCCCGAAGACAAAGAAATCTGGTACTGGTGGCCCGTGTGATCAGAAGCGTCGAAGCATCGACTACAGAGCACGCAGGTATCGTCCGCAGCACAGGTGATACACCGATAAGTAGCCTCGCCGGCCCTGAAAATGTGACCACATCGCTTTCCCCGCGCCGCTTCGGTATATTCTGCTCCTTCTTTTGCTCCCTGAGCTTCCGCTAGTTTCCAAACTCCTTTTGGGGGCCCGTTGGGGAAAAGTAGTCGGAGATATTCTTCGTTGAAGCCGGTCAAAGAGTGGAAGAGTAGCTCGAGTAGGTCTTGCTCTGCATTGAATCCATATCGATAGTTGTGTGCAGAGGGGAGCCGTAGAAGGCCTTGCCCGAGTACCAACTCCTTATCCGTGAAACTCATTTTATCGCCTTTGCGCTTGGATCGCGACACTCATCGGGCTGTCCGAAAAGTGAGGGGATGGTGAGGGTCGGATGGAGTGGGAGCTCCGTGGGGCGGGCTTGGGATCTCCCAGTCTGCGATCGCTCGGCCTGTGATCGAGCGTGTAAGTGGCGGCAAGTATGTTGCAATAAGCCACGGTGTGAAAGGCCGTTGAAACTGGTCGGAGCTACTGGGGTGGTAAAATCCCAAGTAAGGTTGAGGGGAGGGAAAAAAAATCTAGATCAGTTAAGAAGCTTAGTTATCGAGCGATAGCAGGGACGGCAATGTCACCGTGGGGGAAAGTGGTGGGAAGTCGGGTTTTATGGTATCCAGCGGCACGCACCAGTAGCCCGTTGATATCATGAGCGGAACTTTCCTATTCTCTCATTCAGATAGAACCCCTGATGGAGATGTCGTTCCGAAAGCCAAAAGCGATGACACTATATTAGACCATATGTGGAAGAGGAGAGGGGTGTCCAAGAGTTGGTTCGCCCATGACATCGAGAGCACTGCAAACACCGGGGCTTGGCGCCACCGCGATTCTCATCCACGGCGTGTGAACGCCCGGTTGGCTTTCCCCCGCCCAGCTGGGCAACACTACTGGCTTGACCTACGGGGTAGGATGACCTACGTACGCATACCTTGCTCCTGAATGGACTGCTGAAAAACAAAAGTTACAGGTTATTGCGAATCTATCTCGTACAAACACCCTGGATTATAGCACTTCTCCTTCCCGGCACTCGGCTATAGTATAACATGGGAATGGATATTTTGAAACCCCCTAGCACCACTTCTATTCTTTCATATGTAACACGGCGAGTATTGCACCCGAATTTACTCATAGTCCTCATCGTCGGCCTTGTTGAGGTACTGGTGCTTGATGTCCTTCCATTGGCGCTGCAGTAGTGAAACGAACCCGTCAGTATAACCCATGCGGAAAGGTCGTGGGAGGGAAGAAACGTACGCCGCGGTTGAAAGAATCCCAGACCTTGTTGGAGGCAGTGTCGAAGGTCCTATTCCACAAATAATTGTTTAGCGATTGTCAACCCCCCGAAAGATCCCGATAACAGAAACGTACAGCTCGAAGGCGAAAGCACTGGCGAAGATGGTGGTCAGGTAGACCGCGTTACGGCGGATCAGGCCCCTGTAAGTCGTTCAAAGATTTCCAATTAGCAAGACCATTCCATGACGGGCGACAAGTATTGATTGGATATCCGGAGTGAAAGGGGAGACATGCTGGTAGATAGCGGAAGCGAACTGGAGCGGGAACACCCTGGAGTTAGCCATTGAACTGTGACGAAACCCATACAGATAAAATACTTACAGCGCCGGCCATTGTGACGGTAATGGATAGAGAGATAGAGGGGGAAGGGAGCGGGGAAAGACAGCAAGGCAGAGAGGATGGGCGAGATGAGGTTGAAGATTCCAGTCAGGATCGAGTTCGGTTTGGCGGCCGCGAAAAGCAACAGCGGGAATCACCGGGTCGCTGATTGGCCAGTCGGAACACCACCTGCGCAGAGCCTCCGACTGGCCGCCTGGACATTCATCAACCTTACGTCGACTCGTCCACAATTTCAATGCGCTGTCGGGCTTGACTTGTGAATAACTGTGACAACAAACACCGGAATTCAATTTCAACGCATTCAACCTCGAACTTAAACCAGGGGGAGATTTCTACCGTGGAACTACTTTGTCTTCCCCCTCAGACCACCCTGACATTTTCCCGCCCGACCGACTCTCAACACCCCGCCTAACGAAAATAAAATTATGGCCTCCAACAAGCCTGGTGCGGTCAGTTCCTCCGGGATCACAACGAATGAAACCACCGGGGAACGCTACATTCCTTCGTCTGTCCGTGCCGACGGTTCCAAGCGACGAGAGATCCGTGTCCGACCGGGATACCGCCCTCCTGAGGATGTGGAACTATACAAAACCCGTGCGGCAGAGGCCTGGAAGAATCGCGGAAAAGGCGGGGTTCCCGGTGCCGATGGATTGAAGGACGACGAGGACACATCGGCCAACAAGGCAGGTGGTGCAACCAACAACAAGAATGCGAAGCGTCGCGAAGCTAGAAAGAAGGCCAAGGCGACACAGGATGGTGCTACCAACGGCAAGGATGTGACTCGCATCGAGAACTGGCGTGCCGGTGCGCCCGAAGAGGCTAAGAAGCAATCGAACGGAGCCGAAAAGGACGCAGCGCAAACCGAGGAAGCAGTCGACCCTGAAGCAGAGAAGGAAAAGAAGGCCCGCAATTTGAAGAAGAAGCTGAGGCAGGCTCGCGACCTGCGCGACAAGAAAGCCCAGGGAGAGGCCCTTCTTCCCGAGCAGTTGGAGAAGGTGATCAAGATTCAGGAACTGATTCGCCAACTGGACTCCCTCGGGTTCGATTCGAACGGAGACAAAAAGGAGGCCACCGAATTGAAGGAGTAGAGGGAACTACCGATTCGCAGAAGTAACCGTACTTCTTATTGATCAGGTCCTATTGTGCGACTTTCTGAAGGTGCTCCATAACAGCCATCTCGGTCATTGGCATCCATCAACGGCATTTATTCCGGGTCTCTGGTGACTTGATTGCTAGAGCATACCAATCCATACGACGGTCGATGCAGGAGTATCAAAACAGACTTTTGGAAGCAGCTCGGCTTCCTCAGCACTAGAGCCAAAGCGTATCAAGATATTCGCTACACGTCCTGGGCCTCGCGGATATCTCGTCCGATCCATGATAGCCCTTCTCCCGACATAAGCCATCCGTGGCAGTCTACTGAGGATGGCAAAATCCGGATGAAAGACATATTCTGTAACATCGTTACATCTTTACTGTTTCTTTATACTGGCTTCTCGCGGTACCAAATTGACATCTGGGATCGCTACTAGCGAGATCATATTCATTTTTCTCCGCATAGTGCAGATAATCATACATTTGGTATCTTACATGCTAATATAGACATTGAAAGCCCGTGTAGGTCTGTCCTAGTAATGCTGACGCTCCGTAACGTGAACGTTATCGAACCGAACAGGGGAAGTAGCTATGCCACCTTCCAGCTCCCAGTTATGGAAGTCATGCTTGGTCCAAGGTCGACGGCTGTTTCCAGGGCCAAGCTTTTTAGATCCAACACCATACGACGAGGCTAGGTAACCTTGTCTGATGCAGTCCACTACGCCAATCCCCACAGTGCCATACCATGCACCAGCTAAGGTGAGCCGCTTATGAAAGTCACTCCGAACAGAATGCGAGAGCTCTTTCATGCGGGACAGGTGGCCAACTGTATACTGGGGTATAGCATCGCGGAGCAACCGGGCGCGTGCCACAGACGGAGCCGTCTTGATTCCCAAGTGCCTATGAAGCAAGGCCTGGGCCATCTCAATTGCTTTATCCGGGTCAGGATAGTCGGACTCGCTCCAGCCGTCCCACAAATGACCACCCATCATCACGGTGAGCTTTGTGCCGGGTGCAGTGTCCTGTCCTTCGCTGGACTGGGACCCGAAGATAACTCCCAAGGCCCGCTCGGGGTTCTGTTCAAAGGGAACCGAGCTAGGTAGCAGGTATCCGAACCCTTCAACTGGAACCAGGTCTGGATCCTCGTAATATAAATTGACGACCATGACAGTCACTGCGTAGTTGTTCTGTCCTAGGGCGCGGATTGTATCAGAAGGTACGGCACCTACCTTTGTGTTCTGTATCTGTCGAGCGAGACTCGAGGGCGCGTGGGTGGCAATTACACGGTTGTGAGTCTTCGACTTGTCCCTTCCAAACCCGATCTATACTCGTGTCAGCCTTGTCAATCCATCCAGTAGAAAATAGATCTAAACTCTCACTCACAGTCAAGTCCTGAGTTTCTGGGTTCTGGCTAAGCGAGGTGACTTCAGTCCCCGTCACGACTTCCACATTACTGGAACTCCGGAGCTGGGCAGCCATAGCTTCTGTGAGTTGTCCCAAGCCGTTCTTCAACGTAAGAACGCTGGCATCTGAGACCACCGCCCGCAGACTCTTCCAGTAACGATCATCACTGTGGGATGGGACCGCCACCGATTCCAATGCCAACAACTCATCCATTGGCATAGCACGCATTTCTGACGCCCTCTGGGTCATCATGCCATCCACTATAGATCCATATCTCTTCTCGAGTTCTCGTACATAACCAATGGCCATTTCTGCACTCAGACGATTTACGTCTCCCGCGAAAATGCCAGCCATGACTGCAGAAGCGAGATTCTCCGACATTTTGGGGGAAAACCGACGCGAAACAAAATCCGCGACTGATTCGTCACGGGAGAGGATGTGGGTATTTTCAGCTCTTTTTGGCTTCTCGAAGATAGCGCTATATAGAAAAGTCTCGAACAACGGTTCCATTAAGAGTGTCCAGGCTGTCTTAAGCAATCCCTCCGTGGGGGGAAATGGCAGGCGCACGAGATGATCGGGGTAGTAGATGTAACGGTTTTGAGCTGCGGGCGATTTCTTGTCGCAGATCAGAACATCATCCAACAAATCCAAGTTCATTATCTGCAGCATTGAGCCAGTATTGTTAGCCATAGGCAACTCCCCAACATGCATCGATTGAAGCTAGTACTGGCGTCCTGGCTTACCAGATCCATCATGGGAAGGCACGAGGGACTACTCGTCCTCAAGGTGCGCGGACCATATTCGAAGACGACATGTCCTCCACGAACAGGGATCTGTTCAGAGGAGAGCCAGCCTCCCAAATGGGAGGACTTCTCATAAAGCGTGACTTTGGAGCACGACGGGTCGCGCGATAGTTGGTAGGCCGCTGTGAGGCCGGTGATGCCACCGCCTATGACCGCAGCGTCAAACTGTTTGGTATGCACAGCGTGCCTCTGACCCCTGCGGAGCAGAGCCAATGGCGCTCGTACTTGCCGAAACACACGGCTAGAAGCACATGGTAACCGCATGTTAGCGATAATGAAAGACACTGGGGTTAGCAACCAAGTGTCCAGGGTGCTCAACGGGGTGGAGGAAGCGGAAGAGCTGCGGAGCGGAGGGGCCGCTAGCAGAAGCTCCGATGGCCGACCGCAGTTGAGAGTTGATTGATGATCGGCATATGCACTCCAGTTACTACGAAGGTCCCCAAAGACAAAACCACTATTACAAGGCTGAAGAGTACTCACTGACTAGGTCGTGCAGAACATAAGTAATCCCATGATATCCAGATTCTATTTACAAAGCCACCGTAAGTATTCTTTACTGCCATTGCCATGACCATAACATAAAGTAGATCGAAATTGAACGCCCTCCCAAGTAAGCACCCGCGCGCACACAAAATAATACATGAGATCTCTCCGGCATCATATGGGGAATTGGACAATGTGGAATCATCAAAAGAAATGTGGTCAGGTTGATCCAACGCTTGAATCTAAGTCGCGATCTCCTGACTCTGAGAACCTTCCCCGGCCGTGTCAGGCTTAATCAACTCTTCTGTACCCTCCTCCTCTGCAACAAACTTCCGTTCGCTCACATGCTCTTTCGAGCCCGGAGTCCACACCTTGTCGGAGAAGGCACCTTTTTGGCCCTCGGCATGCTTGTAAGGGCAGCTCGGGTTAAGGCAAGGTGTGAACTTGCATGGGGTTTGAATGTGAGTAAACTTGCAGCCTTCCTGAGAGCAGTCGGCTCCATTCCGGCAAAGGGGCATGCTGGGATGTTTGAAGTGACAATGAGGGTTGGCGCAGTTGGGGAAGAATCTGCAGAGCTCCTCCGCCTGATGCGCCGACTTGACGGCAGGTGAAGGGTGGCGACCTGTGCACTTGCGGTTCTTACAAGCAGCCCCGTAAGTGCAAATATCCGAAACATCGACCGGAGAACCTTCGGGGGCAGCGGGCGACTGGTGTGCAAACGGGCAGTCCTTCCTGGTACACCGGAGGTTGAATCGACAGACAGTGTTGGTATTGCTTTCATCCTGGGCCCCTTCCTGTCCAGCCTGATCAGGTTTCGTGTCCATGTCAACATCTCCCGACTGTTCGTGGTGGTTGTTATGGCGCTGACCGCGGTGCCGATGGCCATGCTGACGTTCGACTCGATCAAACAAAGACCGGCCATTTTGGGAGCCATTTTGCTGGAACGCCGGGTTGATTGCTGGGGGAACAAAACCGGGCATAATTTGCGCCATCATACGAGCTTGCTCCTCAAGCAGAGACATGAGGTGCATCTGATCCGACTGAGTCATGTTCATCATGTTGCCCATATTCATTCCACCCATCTGACGGCCACCGGGCATTCTGCCACCTCCATTCTGATTGAAACGGCCCTTTCCGTGCTCGCGGCCATGGGAGTTGACCCGTCCACCGCCAGCTTGACCGCGGACTCGATGTAAAGCCGAGTCCCCACGGTCCATCGAGCGATTTATCTGGTTGAGCATTCTACCACGTCCACCACCACGACCATTGCGCATTGCCTTCGGTCCCGTCGGTCTAGAACAAAGAAAACGAGAGGTTAGTTTATATCGCCAACTTGGGTATGGGGAGGAGAGAAGACCCACATCGAGTCGCCTTGGGCTGCATCGCCCATGCTCATATCGGCATCCTGCGCGTTGCCATCAAAGCCGGACATTTGTGTAGGAGCAGATTCTTGATCACCAAATGACGGAATGGCCTGTGCAGATGAAGCCTCGTTGGGTGCCGGGGCACCCCCGCCATTGATCTGTTGGTTGAGAATTTCGACTTGTTCGAAGAGCCATCTCGAGAAATCGAGGGCCTGTGTGTCGCCTTCACCGAGGCCGCCGAGAAGATCATTGGAGAGCTCGCCGGCGATCTGTTCCTGAGTCTTGCCATTCGCCAGCATCAAGATCACATAATCGGTCAGGGCTGAGTCGTCGCCACCGTCGGAGCTCCAACCCATCTCGACCAGCTTCGGCGGAATGACATGACCCAGCGCCTCAGCGAGCGGGGTTCCTGCGGTGACCATTGTAGTCATGATGCAAACGCACGAGTGCTGAAGAGCGACCTAGGAGTGACACAGACGTAGGCGAGGAAATGTAGGAGGGACGGCACGGGGTATCGTAGAACGCCGCGCCACTGAACCCAGAAGGCGCTATTGAGACGATTCGCTAGTTTATATAATAGGATTCCCGGAGCCAAAGATTGTCAAGAATCGGAGGCTATACAGGATGGAGGAAAAGAGTTGAGGGGAGAGGAGGGATGTTTTGGGGAGAGATCTGGTATCCGTCGCAGGAACTTTGCTTTCGCCGATGATGAAAGTCGCGCGCCACATTAGTCACGTGCTAGGTACTGCCGTGGCGCAGCGGCCAACTGGCGAGTCTTGCTGCAAATTGCCCCAGGAAGCAGTGCCGGAGATTTTAGCATCTACCACTTCACCTCAATACTTTTGACATGTGGTGTCATATCACACTTTGCTGTCATTGAGGGTCATAGAGAGTCATATGCTGTTTTTAGATAGGACATGGAAATTTGTACAAGGATCAAGAACCCGACCAATTGAGCCGGATCCACACTCCATACCAGCAGTTCGTTTCAGCTCCATCAGATGCGCCAAATCGCCTTACTCAGCTAGCTAGACTAGCTCTCAAGCTTCACGTTCCTCTTCTCGTTTATCCGATCTGCAACCACCATTCCAATACAGGAACCTCGGGTCAGCTGGCAGTGACGACAATTGATTGCTTAGCAATGCGCGGAGATGGCTGGTCACGAACGAGCGGAGCAATCAAAATGAGAATTTTAATCAAGCGAGCGGGGGTCTTGCAGCATGGATGACATAGTCGAGCTTCTGGCTGAATAGTGCATGACTCGTGTTCACGAGCATAATAATCAAATGAATTCCTGCGCCGTGGCTATTCAACCCTCATCTATACCATAACTCATCCTACTTCCCTCTCGAGGCCTTTGTCCTGGCACCATGCTTGAATATCTTGTTGACCAGGTGAGTCCCATGAAGGCATCCGCGTGCCTCGGGGGATCTTCTTCCTTGCATGTCTCGTCCGTAAGATCCAAGTGTCTTGGGAAATCTCTCGACTGGGCCTGAGGGCTCCACGCATGCGATTCCGGCTGCCATACGGTCTGTAAATACCACCCTTCCACAATAATCCATAGGCTAACTAGATATCCCCAGCCCTCGACAATGTTTACGGCTATGTGATGGCAAACAGGAGATGTGAGGATCTCACTCACTGGCAGAATCTCATGGAGACTGCCCATGGCGCACCAACCATTGATCATGTACAAACCGCTGAACTGGATTTCGGTATTTCAAATCGAGTGATCATCACCAAGGACCCTGAGAACATCAGAGCCCTACTCACCGGCCAATTTGCGGACTATGGCAAAGGAGAGACCTTTCATCACGACTGGAAAGAGTTCTTAGGCGACAGTATCTTCGTCACAGACGGCGAACTATGGTCTCGCTCGCGTCAACTTATTCGGCCCATGTTCACCAGGGGCCGCATCGTGGATACAGAACTCTTCGAGCATCACGTCCAACACCTCATCCCCCTCCTGGCAGGGACCAAGAGCAACAAGGTCGTCGACCTAACTCCCCTGTTCCTCCGATACACCCTAGACGCTGCGACAGCCTATCTCTTCGGCGAAGGCACCAACAGCCTGCAGAATCCAGCCACCAGCTTCGCCGACGCCTTCAGCTACGTACAACACCGACAAGGCGAGATATTTCGCTACGGGTACGTACATTCCCTCAAACCCCCCTCCTGCTATTTTCGTTCCCTCCACCCATCAACTAAACTCACCACCAACCCAGCCCCTTCAACCCCATCCTCTCCCGTACCAGATTCCGCCAAAAGCTCAAGATAATGAACGACTTCATGGCCCCCTTCATCCAACGCGCCCTATCCCTGAGCCCCGAAGAACTCGACAAGTCCCTCTTAAAGCAAGAAACATTCATCCACGCCCTAGCCCGCTTCACCCGAGACCCCCAAGTCATCCGCGACCAACTAACCGCCATCCTACTCGCCGGCCGCGACACAACCGCCACGACTCTCGCATTCTGCTTCTTCGAATTATCCCGCAACCCTTCCGTAGTCAACGCACTCAGATCCGAAATCGCCTCCCGACTAGGTCTAGGCCCATCCGGCCGCAAACCCACATACACGGACCTCAAAGAAATGAAATATCTCACGGCCGTGCTCAACGAAACTATGCGCGTCTATCCCGTTGTTCCATTCAACGTTCGTTACGCACTAAAGAACACGACCCTCCCTAGTGGCGGTGGCCCCGATGGCACCGGACCTGTAGGCGTTCGTGCCAACACTCGCGTGATGTACTCGACCATGATGATGCAGAGGGATCCGGCGCATTACCCGCCCCCTGACAGTAATAAGAATTACTTCGACCCTGGGAAGTGGATCCCCGAGAGATGGATGGGTGATTGGGTGCCGAAACCGTGGTATTTCGTTCCGTTTAATGGTGGGCCTAGGATCTGTCTGGGACAGCAGTTCGCGATGATTGAGATGGGATATACCGTTGTAAGGATCTTGCAGGTCTACGAGTCGTTGAGGGCTGTGCCGCCAGCCGGGAAGGATAAGGTCGAGGATCCGATGTTGAGGTTTGAAATTACTTTGAATCCGGGTTGCGAGTTGAATTGTGTTTTTGAGTGATGTTAGGGCCATGATGCAAGGGAGCGGTGGGGATCGTTGAATGTTACGCCAGTCCGTGTGCTTCTTCGAACCTTTTTCATATTCATTGTAGCTAAATTGATCTGCACATCCCGGACTGCTTCATCGTGATCTAAACCAATTCGATTGTAGGTTAAGATTCTCATCCTTAGCATTGCCATGCTGCAGTGGCTAGCTATAATTTCTTTCCCTCCCATATAGATACGATTATATGAGTGCCACGTGGTTGGGGTGTCGATGTAGCCCATTTGGATATCTACAGTGGGTTCTGTAATTGCTGAGTTCCTTGACCGTCCGTATTCTATTGCGGTAGCGTATCAAATGAAGTTTCGGGACAATATGAGGTAGGTCTGGGGTCGAACGACTTACGAAGTGACCTAGGATATTTGGGAAGTTGACTGCTCCCATGGGGAGAAATACCTTTAGTCAATTGACTAGCTTGATAACGTCTGATCAAACCCTGTTGCTATCGTTCATTCTCTTCTTCTGCCATATATTCAAATCTTCAACATCACGATTAGTATGGGCTACAAGACACATCGATTGTTTTAACAAAAGCAATGTTATTGATTAAGAGCTACCAACGCCAGTTGACATCCAATTAAGCCACAGCACGTGGTACAATTAGCGAGCTCGTCTGACTCGCCTCTTTCGTGATTCAACGCCAAACCTATGCTGTACATAGCTCATGAAGATCTCTATCATAAACAAGGAAGAAGGAAAGGGGCCATTCATTCATATACACTTCGTCGTAATGTCGTGTTATAGTAGTCGTCGTGTCGTATGCATAACTGTCGTCGAGTAGCGTGCTGGTAATGTATAGACCTGATCATTTTTCAACGGTCGTTGCGCAGCGTATCACAGCATGATAAATGTGCTAATAAGCACACACATCACACATATGCCAATGTGAGTCCTATCTGGTCTTCCCGCAGCATTCACATTTGGGGCTGCGTGGTTGGTTGAAGTAGGAGAGAGATGTCTGGTCGTGGTGGAGCTACCAGCATGAGTGGCGGAACTAGTTTGGCCAGCAGCACTTGTCGAGGAAGCAGTCAAACTTGGAGTTCTTGAGCGGGATTTAGAGACGGAGGGGGAGGATGAAGCCGGCCGAGATTGCGAGGAGGCTGATATACACTGGGAGGAAGACTAAAAGCAGTACCGATTTAGCGTGAAATCCTGAAATTTGTATAAAAGGGTGTTAAGGGAAATGCTCACTCACAGAAGCCGCGCTAGGCGGCTGGATTTGTCTAGAACCAGAATATGTCCAGCCAGAAGGCAGCGATGTCGATGTTGCTGTCGCAACCCATGGCCAGACATCTGGAGTCACAAAGCTGGATGTTTCACGATGAGTGCCGCTCCAAGGGATAGGGATACTGGCAACTGTCGACGTCACAGTGGGTGCTGACTGAATTGAGGTCATTGTATCGGCCCCAATGTTTCCATTAACCTGACCTCCGTTGGCGGTGATAGACGTCCAGTCCCCACTCTCATCACCATATGAGTATGACGAGCCGGTCGAATAGTCCGTGACTTTGAGGGACTTCAAGTACATTGTGTAGGGTCCGGCGCTGTAATCGGTCGTGCCTCCAGCCCAATCTAAGACAAACATTAGCATATTGCACACCAGTGGCAAGCACTGCAGGGACATATGGCTAGCAACTCACCGATTGTACCTTGAGGGTTACTGGGATCGCCTCCAGCCCAGATTCCTACTTTGACTACCATGGGGGTCTGGGGGTACTGGTTCGTGTCAGCAGTATCCGGCGTAAGCACTCTGACCGTTGTGCCATCGATCTGCCAGACGATTTGCTTGCTCGTCCAGTCCACAGTATAGGTGTGAAAGTCGTCGTGGTTCCCAGGATCATTATGGGTAGCTCCACGATTGTAACTACTTGTATCTCCTTTTCCAAAGTAGTTGGTTTGCACAAGCTGGTCATTCCCTCCAAGCCATTCCCAGTCGATCTCATCCAAGTCATCGGACTGCAAAACGGCACTGCTCACAATGCCCGTTCCAGGGGCAGCCTTGATCACGTATTCCACGTGCCCAAACATGATGTACCAGTTGGACTGGATCAATGGCGCATCTCCCTGTTGAGCCACGGTGAACTCGGCACCATTGTCACCATAGGTCGGGCTACCGGTTGCAGTAAAGTCGGAGGAACTGCCTTGAGTGAAGTCATAGCTCGCAGATTTCCCCAGTGCGGGATCCGCAGGACATGCTTTAGAAGTATTAGCTGCGCCTGCCTATCGCACGAACGGTTTTGGGCACTTACATTTCTTCAGCGGGTTACAATTGGTGTATGTCTGCGCTGCCACTAAGCTGGCGCTAGAAAGAAGAGCGACTGTCGAGCTAACAAACGGAAGTCTCATGGTGGGAACAATATATCCCGGTGATTCACTCAATTGGGGTCGTCAACTGCAATCAGGGTACAGATTGAGAGGGCGGACAGAGTTCGATAACCAGTGATGTATTTGCGTATCTTTCTGGGTGGAGGAGAGGAAGGGTGAAATTGGGATGAGAGGGATATTAGACAGGAGGATGGACAGGTACTGAGGATCAATACTAAGTAGGTTAATGCAAGACCACTTTGGCCGGCAAAGTCACGGCGCAGGAAGGTGCCGGTGGTGGTAGTGAGGAGTCAAACTCGAGGCAGCCATCATCCACAAGCCAAGAGTAGGGACGCAATCATATTTAAGGCACATTTGAAATTAGTTGCGGAGGAAGGTGCAATTCTCATCGTCCGTGTGGACAGCTCCGACTCCTCGTACTCCATCGAAAGGTCGGACTGATGGTTTTCTTGGTCCAGCCTCCTCGCTTTTGCTGTTGCTCCATCTCGGGCCCGTCATCGCCATTATGCCCGATCGGGCAGTCACCGGGTCGCTCATGGGGCCTCATCACCGCCCCATCCGCCCCGCTGATTGGCTCAGGACTGTCGACCATGACTGTACCTTACGTAGAGGATGCGACCACAAGGAAATGAGTTTGAATAATCTCTCTGTGTGGAGTATGGAATAGGCAAAATTATTATCCCTAAGGAATGGGAAGAACCTATCAGCTCGATAGCAATTCTCTCAAATCTTTGTTTAGTAGCTTTTCCATGTTGTCTGCTCTTGATACAAGATGTAGCAATGAAGGATCTAACATTCTCAGCGGTAGGCGCCGTCCCACTTTCCACCAAAGTACCTTTGCTTACTTGAATAGGCAATAAGCTGTCTACCCGTCAGTCCAAACCACAATACCAGGGCAGGCCATCACTTGACACCTTTCGCATATTAAACGGCAGATAAGTACTCCGTACTCCGTAGTAAACTCTGACATTTCGTCCTCTGCATCATGTCCTCTACAGCCATCGACCGCTCCAAAACAGCGACGGTCGCGCGGGTTAAGGCCCTTTCCAACAATAGCATCAACCGCCACCTGAGTTGGAGTCGATCACCGCCCATCCGCTCCACCCCCAGCCTCCTCTTTTTCCATCAGCACCTATCAGGCTATCGGGACCCTGGTGATCTAGAACCACAACCCAACAATATCTCTTTTTATAAGAAATAGCTCCTGGCTAGTCTATCTCGCATACATCATTCCGCTTTGCTGCAGGATTTTCTCGTGGGCCTCTCTGCCATGTCCGATTCATGCTTACGCTCCACCCGCCACGGGAAGCAGCTTCACGTAGAGCAAAATTCTGCTCTCTATCAATTATCTTACTGTGTTCAGGTGACACAGCCCCTGTCTACCCAAACCTTGTTCACAGATAATCGTAGAACCACCATGGTTAATTGACATGCCCCGCTTAGCCGCTGATATCAGAGCGACGCTGTGGCTTGACGATGGCGAAGTATATGTGTTTTCTGGGGAACCATCGTAGCAAATTGACTTTCAACCATATACAGTATGATCAAATTCCATAGTCTCGAGTGTTAACTACGTTCTCGGACAGTATGACATTGTCGCAACCTAACAAGTAACTGTGCCAAACGAACCCTCTCTTCTGGCGCACCTAGAACAGTCCAGGACATCCAACCGTGGGAACTGTCACTTTACATATGCCCATGTCCATAGTAGGATGTGGAATCGTTCCAGATCAGGCAGAGCCGTTCATAGGCATCAGGTAATCCCTCTTTATTTTGGATACAATACTCGGGAGATGCTTTCTGCTTCATCAGTGACCTGCAGGTGCCATCCGGAATTATTAACCCGACTACGGAGCACTTCCGATCTCCTCATGGAGATGCATCTCTACTGCGCCCTATTATGCGGGTCAACTGTGATGTCTGCATGCTAAAAGTAGTAGTGCTCCAGGTTGGTGCCTTTTTCAATCGGTCCATATAGATATCCGGTCAATGGTAGCATACTTTGTATATATATTCACTACTAAGTCTGAAGACTTGAACTCGTTGCCATTGGCAAAAACCGAGATCCTTAGAATAATAATACCCCGGGATACCAACTAATATATATCTTCAGTATATTACTCAGGCTTCGATACCGTCAAATCAATAGATGGATAGTAGCACCATCCTTGAATACATGGGTAGAAGACTTCAAATAGTCTGGTACACTGCGTGCACCCAACATATATGGCACTACATGTCAACGGATATCCGAGCGTTGTCCAAGAGCAAGAATACTACTATAAGCTGATAATTAGAGCGAAGAATATGGCAGTGGAACTATACATCTTAGCCCCCATTTCGACATTGCTTATTTGTACGACAAAAGCAATTCTGTTGAACAGGTGTTGAGAATCTGCTTTCCACCTTCTAAAAGGGTTACTGGCTAGTGCTGTGTCTTTGGCAATTACCCAGTTCGGTTAACCTTACTGATAGGGGATGTGTCCTTTGTTGTGTACACCTGCAAACCTAAAAAGGTATGAGTGTTGCCGGAACTTACTTACAGTAACCAGTACTAACCCTGTACCGAATCCGTCCAGGTCGATCAACATATATTTAAATTCCTCTTTCCCATCTCATCCACCTTGCACCGCTCCTGAACATGCCTCTTCGTTTTCTACAAGGGGTGAAAGGGTCATGGTAGATAGGAACGTCCTGAAACAAGCAAGTATGTTTCAGAGGGTTCTTGGTTGCACACATATTCGGTTCTCTCGTAACCAGAGTGAAACCGCCATGGCAATAGGAGCTCCCCTTTTTCGCAGAAAAGTGCCCCAAACCATATCGGCTACGCAGAAAACTCGTACCTAAGCGAGCGCTCCGAAACTCCTCAAAGGGAAGGACGGGCGTAAAAGAATAAAAAGTGACGGTGTGGGGTTGAGCCAGTGGGGGCAGTTCAAGGATCAAAGATTTGCTGCATATTCGGAACAATATCCCTAAAGAGCATGGGCCACCAAGCCATTATCTGGGTCCATCATAATCACTAGTAAGGTGTCTTATATTTAGTAAGTACAGAGTATGTCGAGTAGAATGTACAATGCGGCTTTCCAACGACAAGTGACTTGGTAAGATCAGACCGCAAATAAATAGCATCCTGCCTCCGGTACTCCCTAGACTCCTTGCTAAGGGTGCAATGATCTGGCGATCAACGGAACGCCACAATCGCTCATGTGCAGGAGTCCTTGCCCAGGAGTGGGATGACATGAGATCTGATTGGTAGAACATGCCCGGTAGTATTGACCGTAGATACTCCGTTCGCTTATGAAAAAGAAATGAAAAAGAGAATGGGCGTAGACAGCTGAAACTTACTAAGTATCATCAGCTGCTCAAATTCTCAATCATTATTCAACTAATGCCGCTTTAACCGTCAGGATTTGGGATGACTAAAAATTTACCGGACAAGGGCCGTGAAAGTTTTGCCGGGTATCCCGGCTCCCAAAGAGGTGTTGTGTGCTACAGTAGTACTAAGTAGCATCGCAAGCTAGTTGTGATTATCTGCCGTAGTGTATGTATCCTGTTGAAGCACGGACATCCTCATGGACCATGCATGCCCCGGAAACGACCCTTGAAAGCTCCCTAAATGGTTCACAAAGTGAATCTGAGCTGGCGGATTAAATCTTAATAATAAGATTTCTCATGCCGGAAATGCAAACTCAAGCCTCTAAGGCATCGGGACTTTGCCCCAATCGGTACGGCCCTTTTGGAGCGACAGAGTAGTAGACCAGTCGGATCTTGACATCATGTCCACCGGTCAAACCAGTTGGGGACTTTTCATGGGAGGGAGCTTACAGTAGCTTCCGAGCGGCGGTCCACCAGAATCTGAACCACTTCCCCCCTCCCCAAAAGTCCACAGAGGGAGCTTGCTCCTGCTGCTGCTGTTTGCTGCTGCTCGGTCCGGTTTAGCGGGTTGCTCGTGGTCAGAGCCTCAACGCCTTTCCAACTCTGCGCAGGTTCACTCCTCCCGCCGACCGTCACCACCACCACTTTAACCACCACCTAAACTCCCATCCACGCGAACCTCACCTGTCCGGTTCATGCTGGTGGTTTTCTGACTTTCTCTCATTCCCCTTTCCTCCCCCCTCTTCTTCCCTCCTCTTTTATTACTTCCCTGAACTCTTTTGTTCCTCGCCCGTCCCGCCCCCTTTTCTCCCTACCCCCCACCTGCCGTCATTCTTGAAGCCTGTCGCAGGCCTGGCTGTCCTCGTCCCAGATTGTGCGATGGCGTTTCCTGACCGCTGCCGCTCACCCTCCAGAACATGAAGCACGTCTTGACACCGTCGCGCCCGACGCTAAACCCCGTGCCACGATCGTATACTGTTCGTACTGTGATAACTGCCTGTGGCAAGCCTTCCCTTTCCGGTGGTACATCTTCGCTGAGACCTTCGGGTTACTTTTAGAGTTTATATAATCTTTGCCTATACCGACGACGCAGTATCTATATCCCCACGCCATTCGAGATCAGCCCCCCGATCGGATCTACCAGCAGTTCCTCCCACGACACCTTCACGAGCTCATAATTAACTTCCTCACTTTTTTGTCACCATAAATTCGATATCGATCTCATTAATGCTTTCCCTCCTTCCCCCTATTTCCCTCTTCGGCAACCGCTTCAGGTGACAGTCCGTCTTTTTTATTTTTTTCGCCACGTCCCCTCCCAAACAACTGTTCATAAGTCAGAAGCATGTCGCATCGAAACAGTGATCAATCTGGAGGGCGGCGCAGCTCGGAGAGCTCAGGGGCGCACAGCTGGTTGTCGCAAGAGACTGTTCGAGAAGGTCGAACCCACCAACCCCAGCATAATCATGAACCTTCGAATGCGCGCAGTGTTTCTCCATTATCGGGATTCAGAGATACGGACAGGTAGGCAACATTATCCTCCTCGCTATTCCTTCCCTCATATCGCTTCTGGTCGGAGGCTGCAGATATAGCCGTCATGGGGCTGTCGTTACTTTCGGCGAAGGAGAACGGATGGCGGCTGCCGTTGC